CCTCGCCAGCATTTGATGTTTGCTGTTCTGTTAAATTTTGCTATTCTTACTGGGGTGAAATGATATCTCATAGTTGTTTTGATTTGCATCTCTCTCAGAGCTAGGGATTTTGAACATTTCTTCAAGTATTTGTTTGCCATCTGAATGACTTCTTTGGTGAAGTGTCTGTCCATATCATTGTGCCCATTTTTCAATTGGGTTGTTTTCCTTTATCCTGTTGTTGTGCTCGATTAATTCATAAATTCTAAATATAAGTCCCTTATCAGACATGTCATTACCAAATATTTTCCCCCAGTTTTTGGCTTCCCTTTTTATCGTGTTGGAGAATTTTTTTGATGTGCATAGGGATTTTATGCTTAGAAGAATTCTAATTCATCCATTTGATCCTTTCCTGATTGTAGGGAATTAATTTTTTTCAAACTAATTGGGGGAGAGAAAAATGTGCAACAGTGAATGAAAAACCTTATTTTTCTGTAAACATCAGTTAAAAATCACAATTTAAAAAACCATACTTTTAAAAAGAATAATAAAGTATATAATAGGATACAACATGGGACAGTTTAAAGGGTGAAATATTGATTGCACAATAAAAATTTCAAAATCCAAAATAAAACTTAACACAAAATTTGGGGAACATCACAGAATAGTACATAGATAACAATTTATAGCAATAAATGTACAGATGAAAAAGAACAAAATCAAGTATCTTAACAGCCCAACAATTAGTAAAAGAGCAGCAAGCAATCCCTACAGTCTCCAGAAGAAAGAAAATAATAAAGATTAGAGCACAAAGAAATAAAAAAGAAAGACAATATTGAAAAATCAGCAAGACTAGAATCTGGTTTTCTGAAAGGATTGTTGTCATTGACTAGCCGTTAGCAACTATAACAACGTGAAAGGTGAAAATGCAAATACGAAATAGAAATAAAATATGATTAACAGAACCAACTGAAATTTTTAAAATAGCAGAATACTATGAAGAACTACAGTGCCACAAATTTTAAAATGTGGTCCAGACAACTTTACAGGTGAATTCTCTCAAACATGCAGAGAAACACTGACACCAATTCTTCTCAAACTATTGGAAAAGGTGCGAAAAGATGGGCTTCTCCTGAATTCATTCTATGAAGCAAACACAACTCTGATACTAAATTGCAGACAAAAACGCTACTGAAAATTAAAATTAAAGATTAATAACTCTCCTGACAATGAGTAAGGATGACAGAAGAAGGATTGATGCCTCTGAGCTGTGGTGTTGGAGAAGGGTGCTGAACGTCCCATAGATGTCCAAGAGAGCAAGAATGTCTTGGCAAAAGTGCAGCCGGAGTGCTCTGTGGAGGTAAAGAGGACAAAGCTTCGTCTCACATACTTCAGGCATGTTGCTAGGAGGAGCTGTTCTTTGGAGAGGGACTTGATGCTCAGAATGGCTTTACTTATCATAAAGCAATTATATTATTGACCTCTATATATCTCCTTTCAAGGAGGGAGGTCTGTCCTTTTGGGGATGCAACTTTCTAATAAATCTATCATTACTATTTACCCTCATTTCTGCCTCCTCATCTCTTTCTCCTCATCCCTGTGCTCTAGTAAAAAGCTTCAGCCTATATTCTAATGCTTTAAACAATAAAGTCTGCTCTCTCAAGAAATCATAAAATTGTATTATCACTGTACATACACTGTACTATCTTGTTACTGGAACGCCGTCTTTTTCTAGCCTCTTCCATCGGTAGGGTGAACTAGGGCATTGATTGCAAGGGAATATTTTTGGTTCTGGAAATCAAGGATGATTTGAGAGGATGGATTTTTTACCATCATCAAATAAACCCAAACATCTAATTGGATGCATAGCCTAAGCACCCACCTCCAGCAAAAAGAGGCAAGTTCCTGATTGGATGGTCCAAGCAACTTGAAAATGGAAACTGATATTAGAAAAAATAATAATTTTTTAAAAAACACGTCTAAAAAACCCTGGCTGACCAGCCTTCACATCAAAGGATTCATAAATATCAGTCTTGTGCTGCTAAAATGCATAGACGTTGAGACCAGAGGTTACATTTAAATGTAAGTGTGCTCAGTAAAATACCAGCACCACAGGAAGGAGAACCTCCATACTTGCAAATTTAACCCTCAGCTACCCATTCACAAGTCAGAAGACTCCAAGTTTTAACAACCCCCACCAGAAGAAGCTGATCTCCTTTTACTGGCAATGCAGCATAGCCAAAATGTGCATAAGCAATTAAGCAAAGTAGCAACAAAATGGCAATCTTAATTATAATTTTGCTTGTCTCTACAAACAACACTCTTGGTATCAGCCACCAGGAAATTAAAAGATGAATTGTATTTGCAAAGTCTGCTGTCAGAGACCTCTCCAAAGTACTGAAGAGCAACGATGTCACTCTGGAGACTAAGGTGTGCCTGATACAGGCCATGGTCTTTGCAATTACTTGTAAGAAAGCTGGACAATGACTAGGGATGATAGAAGGAGAGTTGATGTCTTTGAGCTGTGGTGCTGGAGAAGAGTATTGGATATACAATTGAAAGCTAAGAGTACAAACAGGTTTATCCTGCTCCTTGGAGGCAAGGATTTTGAAGCTCCTCCTGAAATACTTTGGACATGTTGCACGAAGAAGGAAGCAGTCTTTGGTAGGGATATCATGCTTGGAAGGGTATAAGGACAGCACAGGAGAATAAGACCCTGGATGAGATGGGTTGACTCAGTGACTGGGATATTTGGTGTAGGTGAGTCAGAGACAATGAAGTTGACTCCAGATTAAGCAAGGTTCATGGCTGTTTTGCAGAGTCAATATGAGTTGCAAGCAACTCAATGGTACATAGCAACAAACAACAACATGAAAACTTATACTCTGATAAATTTGAAAACCTAGAGGAAATGGACAAATTCCTAAAAATTCACACTCTACCTAAACTTACATAGTCAGACACAGAACACTTGAACAGACCCATCACAAAAGAAGAAACTAAGCAAGTCATAAAAAATCCACACCCCCCAAAAAAAATTGCTGGC